GTTTTGTATTGTATTGAAAAAAAAAACAGTATTTTTTTTTTGGAAAATCATTAGTTAGTTTTCATAAAAAAGTTAATATTTAAAGGGGATTGGAAATCCCCCTTTTTTTTATAATTTTTTTTAAAAAAAAGAGAAGAAAATTGGGAGCAAAAAAGGTTAAGATAAAAAAAATAAAATATTTACCTCAATTATAAAAAATTTGTTAATGATATATATATGATATGTAAATTGAATTACAAACTTTTAGACCTGTCTCTTATACACATCTAGATGTGTATAAGAGACAGTGATAATATTTATTATTGCTACTATCAATTGATAATTATCTTTAGATATTTTGACATCCTATCAAAGATTTTTTTTTTTTTCTTCTATAAAAAGAAAAATTTGTATATGAATCCATTTTAGAAAACTAGATTTTTCTTTTTTCTTTTTTAAAAAAAGAATCATTTTTTTTTACTTTACGTAAAATATTATTAATATTATTATTCGTTTTTTTTTTATCCTTTGTCACTTTAAAAAACGTAATTGTATTCAAAATGTAGAAATCTCTCAATTGGAGGATGCAAGAAAATTTGATAACAAAGTAAATGCAATGAAATGCACTTATTAATCTCATCGTATAATGTCGTTGCTAAAGTGACTATCTTTCCGAATCGAGTTGAATATACCACATCTTTTTTTTTTTTTTTTTTTAATTCTCTCTAACCCACCAATTCATTCCTTTATTTTATAATTAAATATCTTCGCCCCCCCCTTTAGATTTCGACATTACTTACCGTTAAAGAGTAATAACTAAGGGGGGGAGCATGAGAATTCAAGTATCTTTCGTGATACATCGCTCTTCCTTTATTTTATACTCGATTTTTTCTAATATTTCAGTCAGTATAACACGTTTGATCTTTAATAATGTTGATCTATTTTCATTTATTTGCTTATATAATCTTACTTTGACTTCTACCTTTTCTTTTCGGTATTATGGATATTAAAATTTTTTATCATAATAAACTTTTATTTTCTTATTTATTTTTCCTTTCCTTTCATCTTTCTAGCTTGCGAACGGACGGACCAAATCGTTACGGCTTATCGTTTCTATCATCTTTTTTTTTAAATCTCGTAAAACAAATTACATTTTCGATTTTTTTTTATATGCCAAATCATTCAAACCATTCAACCATTTTGTTTATTTATGCATTATGAATTTATTATTTTTTTTTTTTCATATTTTCCTTTTGTGCTCTGGATGATAACATCCAATTTTTATTTTTAAATATTATGGTTCTTTGTTCTATTTTTTTTGTTGTTTCTTTAAAATTCGTCTTTTTGAAACTCATCGACCCTTTAGTGATCGTATTTATTTCTAGCCGAATATAATTTGGTTAGTATGTTATTATTAAGGTTGGTTGTATTCCTTATAACTTAAAAGTGCGGAAAAACTCAAAGTCAAATTATCAGATCTTAGCTGTTTATAGTAAAATATGCCGTGAACAACAACAATATGCGCGATTTCACGTAAAACATTTTTTTCAAACTTTATTTTTGTTTTTTAATATTTTTATTCTTTACATTACAGGCTTATCGTAACAGCCACAACATTATAACTTTAATGTTATCTTTTTCAAAGTGAGTAATATTTATTTAATACGCGTTTGAACGGACGGTGATGGTGACTGGATTTAAATATATATATTTTTTTAATTTTAGGAATTAATTCGCTAAAGTTTTTTGCGTGTTTTTAGAATTTTTTTTCTAGTCGTATTTACTATATATTTAAAAAAAATTTATACGCACTTTTTATTTATTTGTTTGCCCTTTTTTACTTAAACATTCATTCATTTTTTCAAATCAAAAAAAAACCATTATTTTTT